GAAAAGGCCGCAACTAGAAAGAAGAAACTTACGAAATGGAAAGGCTCCCCAGGACAACATACGGTAAAGGTAGGAAATCACACACACACAAACTAGGAGGAAAGTTATAGGACGAAAGTAATAAAATCACCTGTGTCCACAATAAGCGGTTAAAGGATACACAAAACAATCAGATGTAAATATGATATCAAAGCTAGTAATCGTGAGGAGAGGAGAGTATGAAAGCAGACTGGTCCCACACTTGGTTAATGCTGCTGTTGTTGTGTTGAAATTTCTAATAATGTTTGAACAAGGGTAACTGCATTTTCATTTTGCACTGAGCCCCATAGATTATGTAGCTGGTTGTCGCCCTCAGCCAAAGTGAGGCTCGTGTTTCTTTGTAAAAAAGATGCCTGGACAGACTTTGTCATCAGCCTTGTTAGGGAAGAGCTGAGTGAAGGATGTGCCATGTTGGGGGCGGAGAATGGTGTCAGGGACACAGGATGACAGCACTGCTCCCTGGGAGCTGCGGAGCAGTGGGGCCGCCTGCCAAGGAAGGAGAGAGCCCCAGACAGCAGAGGCTGGGAAGGGGCTGGGCCAGATCATCCCAAGGTGGGGCCCTTCAAATCTCCCTTGGCAGAATCTGGCCCCCAGGAATCGGCCTCAGAAGCCAGCCATTGCAGGGAAGTCTCGTCTGGGAAACAGTGAGCCAGCGGTAAGCACATCATCTGTGATCTGTTCTCATTCACCTTCTGGGGTTAAAGACATGGAGGGACAGTGGCAGCAGTGGGGTGTGAACTTGGCCAGTCTGGCTCCAGATTAGTGCCGGCTCCACTAGATGGTGCTAAACGTAAGTGATGATGGACTCAAAGTGCTGCCCCGGCCTTGGAGAGGTTTCAGGAATGTCTGCAAGCAAAGCTCTGAGCATCGCCTAGAAAGTGCACCCGTCTCTCCAGAAGGCAGCACTTTATTTTTCAGGGAGGCAGTAATGTGAACGAACACGCTTCCTAGATTCAAATCCAGGCTCTGCCACGTACAAGATCCACACGTTTTCACAACTTTTTTATTGATGAAATAAAAATAGAATAACAAATGAGTATAATTTTTTTTGGAATACGGATCTACTAAAGAGAAGAATGGATTTCTCTAGGCGGGAGGAGGGGAGATAAATTTCACTTAACTGGGGTTCAAAGTGAGTGTGTTGCCTAACATCAGATCAGTTGTAAATGGTCACAAATAAAAAGCATTCTTAGCTTTCTGGAGCAGATACTGGGCCGGGCTTGGCCACTGATTTGCTGACTCCTGAGCGAGTGTATTAACTGTGTTGATTGTTTCCTTGGTTCCGTTTTCCTTTTGCTGAATTTTGTGCCTTTCTTGAGTGTTGTTGGTCTGTAATGTTTATTCTCCAAGTACAAGGGACTGAATTGAATGTTCATGTTCCCCTGTACCCCCCACCTCATTCCTGTGCTGAAATCCTAATTCCCAGTGTGATGGTGTTAGGACGTAGGGGCCTTTGGGGGTGATTAGGTCATAAGGTGAAGCCCTCATGAATGGGATCAGTGCCTATATGAGACCCCAGAGAGCTCCCTCAGCCCTTCTGCCATTCGGGGACTCAGCAAGATGATCATGTATCAGGAAGCAAGCCCTCACCAGGCAAGGAATCTGCTGGTGCCAGAACTGTGAGAAATAAATGTGTTGTTTAGAAGGCACCCAATCTCATATAATGTACACATGCAGTTAAACTGTAATAATTCTACCTAATAAAACTAAAAAAGAAAAAAAAAGCCCCCCCGTCTCTGGTGTTTTTGTTAGAGCAGCAAAAATAGACCGACACACGGCTTTAGCCTAAATGTTGGAGGGTTATCTGCTCTCTAAGGACACTGACCAGTGATTACCTTTCTTAATTTTCTGGCCAACTGTCCACATCACTGCTTCTTATCTCAGTGTAATTCCAGGGCTTCGTTCAGAAAACTCACTTTTTTGGGAACTTCTCTCTTTTGCTTAGTGGGGAGTATGTGTCCTCATTTTTATTGAGGTTGCCCCATTCACCCATTCTTATCTCATTTTCCAGGAATTCCTCTCCGTTTTGTCTGTTGGGAGTATTTCTCCTAGTCTTCCAACTATGTCACAGATTTCCAGCTGATGAGCACTTATGTAGAAAACCGAAGCTGGAAACTGGATTAAGATGACTTCTGTAGTTTAAATAACACCAAAAAGGAGTCACGTCTTTGAAGAGAATTTAACAACTGATACATATTTGCACAAATGAAATTCAGCACTTTATTCAATTGTTAACGGAACTTCCAGACGTATAAACCAGGATCGGCCGTAACATGTGCTGTGACATCACCAGGTGGTTATCTCTCGCTGTGCTGAGTCCCTGTACCCACGGAAGGAAGATGGGACTGCCCCACATAGCAATCCCTCTTGCCTGTCTGGTGGATTACCAGTGGTCACCCACAATGGCAAACGGATCCTCAGCGACCATAAAGGCATGATTTAGAAACAGATGATTTTAAAACAAAACTTTTAGATAAATTCCTTTATTTGGATGCTTTTGGTATTTACATTCCTGGATGGGTTAATCTTCTATTGCATTTTCTATTTCTTCTGACTTTTCAGTGAGATTTTTGGGGTGTGAAAAAGGTACACATATGTTCAGCTCATCAATTCAAAATTTTAAAAAGTTTGTTTTTTAACTTTATTCTATTAAAGCTTTTAAAAATTACAAAATAATGTTTCTATGCTACTAAAAAATTCAGACAATAAAAAATACAGGCTGTAAAAAGAGAAGTACCTTCTATTCCAACTTCTAAAAAGAATGGCTCTTAACGATAATTGTGTATATTTTTCAGACTTTTTTATGCTTCTTAAATTATATTTAATACATATAAATGAAAAAAATCACACTATACAAAGTTGTGTAATTTGCAGTTTTCATTTAATAAATCATGTATATGTTTCCAGGTCAGCATATGTAGGTCCACTTTATCCCTTTGAATAGGTAAATACTGTTTCATTAAACTGATGAACCTTCAATTTAGCCAATCACACTTCTGCTAAAAAAATTCATATTTTTTCCAATTTTTAATTATTAGAAATAATACTGCTTTAAATGTTCTCATACACATATCTTTATTTACCTTTTAGAGAATTTCTAATGGAATAAATTCCTAAAATTGGAATTTCTAGATCAAAGAGCACATAATTAAATATACATTAAGATTCTGATGAATACTGCCAAATCGCCAGCCTTCCCAAAGCTACACTAATATTCACTAATATTCTACAGGTAGTGGCTGAGAGGGCCTTTTTTCCCATATTTTTTTTCTAACATTAGTTGTAATCATATTTAAAATTTTTGCCAATTTAGTTGTTAAAAAAAATTCATTAAACACTTTAATATCATTAATTTTTAGTGACTTAGGCATCTTTTCACATTTTATATTTACCATTTTCTTTATCCTTCTGTTCCAGAATTTGTAGTTCCATCTCTTCTGCCAATTTTTGTATTTTTTTCTTATTGATTAGTACAAACTCTTTGTATATTATGGATGTTAACTAATGCTTTGTCAGATGATGGACATATTTTCAGTTTATCATTTAACTTAGTTGATTGTATTTTTGGCCTCTTATAAGTTATGTTTCTACAACTTCTGAGGATGGATCTTCCTAGGCCCAAGAGGAAATTAAGATATTATATGGGAAAAAGGTTAACAGATTTTAACTACATTAAAACTAAAAACATATTAAGGAACCTGGGTGTTATCTTGATGGCAATGGAAAACCTTTGAAGACTTCTCAACTAGATTTACATAATTAGATTAGCATTGAGATTCTTAGTTTCCTGTCTTTCTCCTGGGACTACCTGGCTCCCAGTTAACCCTTCACTTTGGCCAGAACTTTTCCTTTTTTCCCAATTTGCTCTTGTGATGTTGGTCTCCCACTGTCTGTACCCAAGCCTTCTGGTATTTTGGCTGCTAGTGATGCCCTTTGGAATAGCATGCACTCAGCACAGTGGCAGAAGGACAGGGTAAAACATGTTAAACACCTTCCTACGTGCTATTCACCTAGGAATTTACACTCTTTTTCACCTTTGAGAGATGGAGATCATTATTCCCATTTCTCCATGAAGAAACTGTAATCAAGAAGCTAAGATTTGCCTGAGCCCAAACCACTAGAATGTAACAGAACAGGGATATAAATTCTGTTTCTCCTCTTTCCTGCTGCCTTTAAGTGCACTTCCACGGCTGACAGATGTCTGGGTTACATGCTCTTTTTTGAGTATGTTATTCATTCAACAAGTATTTGAGCAAGTAGTGTGTGCTATATCGAAGTGCCTTTTTTTTTTAAAATTATCTTTCCAAAAAACAATCCTTCAACGTAGGTGCTGTTGTCTCCATTTACAGACAAGAAACTGAGGCTCAAAGAAGTGACAGGACCTGCCAAAAGCCACATGGCTAGTGGATTTTGGAGCAAGGATTCAATCTAGGTCTGGTTTCGGTTTTAAATTTCTCACTAGGCCAGGCTGCCTCTTCCTAAGAGAAGGAGTTTAAAAATTCTAGTTTGAGTAACTAACTATACCTGTCCCACGCTCAGGGAACGCTTCACAAATGAGGTGACCTTTGACTAGACCATTTACTGATTACTACTTACCGAGCGCACCTTGGTATGTTATCCTTACAATAAACGCTGCAGGTGCGACCAACAGTCCCAGTTTTACAGACACTGAAACTGAGCAGCGGACTGGAGCCAGGGCCCCAGCCACCGTCCTGCCCTACCTCCCACTATCAGGCTCGATCTCGCGCCCCGACCCCTCTCAACCTCATTTCTGGGCCCTGAAGGTTGCGAGGCCACAGAGGGTGGACGGCTGGCTCCTCGTGGGATCTCAGCCCTGAGGCTGGCGGACCACCAAGCTGGGGGAGTAGCAACAAGCCGGGAATATCTGACCCCGGAAGCAGTCGTGGCGCCGGCTACCGCGTCTTCGGTTGCCAGGGTGCCGCCCCGGAAGTAGAGCCCGGCGGGCGGCAGGCCGGATCGCGGGATAGAGGACGGCGTCCTGTTTGCAAGTGCCGCAGTGGGGCTGGAAGCGGGGTCGGGGCGCGGCGTGGGGCCGCAGTGCTCCGCGCTCTGGGCGCCCCGTCGCGCTCTACGCGCACAGGTGAGGTCCCGCCGCCGAGGCCGCCGTCTCCCGGGACCGAGGGTGTGGCAGTGCGTGGGTGGGCGAGTGCGCATGCGCGAGCGGTTGTGGGTGCTGGTCTGCGCGGCCACGACCGTGCGGCTTAGATGCTGTTCCCGGTATCAGCGTCTTCCAGGAAGCCTGCGCTGACCACTGTGCCCCTCTTCCTCTTCAGTTCCTATGACATAACTTGTGCAGCCCGATCCTTGTAATTGCATGCTTTTTATTATTGGGTATCCCAGAATTTCATTGTTCCTAAGCTTTTTCATTCACTTGCCATCTGTATTGTTTCTCTTGGCATCTTGCAGGGCGCGGTGTACCTGTGGCTAGAGCTCTGGACAGGAGACAAGAGATAAATGTTTACCTCCTTGCTCGCCTCTCTTTTGGGGACTGGACCTAGGTATTTCTCTTCCTTGTTTCCCCATCGTTGTGGGGCGAGGGGTGGGTAGTCAACCACCCGATAGGGTAGCTGGGGCATGACAGAGGACTCATTCTAGAAGTAAAAGTTTCTTACCCTTGTAAGCTGTGTGAGTTTTGTAAAGTGGTTCTTTGTCCAGGAAACATTTAATGAGCATATTTGGGCTGTGGCAGTACAAAAAGATTGGCTCAGCCCTGGATTCAGGGCACTGTCACCCAGAGGGGTGAGGAGATGGACAGAGGCAATACAGCTGGGACAGAATGCACTGGGACACTGTGGGGTTGTCATTTACACTGTCATTAAAAGATGTCTCTTTTTTCCTTTTCAAAAAAGACTAGCTGGAAAAGAATCCAAATGTCCTAGGATTCTGGCCTAGCTGGGACTTTATTGAAACTGGTAGTGATCAGTGTCTAGGGTAGGGGTCATGGGGTCAGAGAGGGCTCCCATTTCTCAATGGCTGGACCCAGAAGAGTAAAATGACTCCAACGAGTGTAAGTTCTTCTCCCTGCTTGCTGTTTCTCCTGAGCCGTTATCCTGGCTTTTGTCTAGGGGTAGTCATAACTCCAGGAAGTGAAGGGCCTCTTGGCAAAGTTCTGTCCTCACGGGGTCGTAGACACAGAGATTTCCTGAGATGTTCCCTTGCTCAGCGGAAATCAGCTAAACTCCCGGCCTCCTACTTCTTGCCTGGGTAGAGCTGTGGAAGTGTTTGTGGGTGACTGTCTCCAGGTTCTCTCCCCTATAGGACTGACAGCCCCTGTTGAGCTGGGCTATACCTGCTTCACTGCTTGGTACAAACAGCACATGTTTGTGTATGTGGAGGAAATTCATGTCTTTATCTTTGTTCATTCATCAAATATTGATTGAGTGCCTGCTATTCCTAGACACTATCCTGGGTGCAGGGACTAATCAGGAGATAAGGTGGAACAGCATTCCTGCTCTCGTGATGTGACATATCTGTGTCGAAGACAGATGGTCCCCAAGGAACTGGACTGGTTCTTTTTCAAACTTGAGCATGTGTAAGAATCACCTGAGAGCTTGTTAAGACACAGATTCCCAAGGAGTCTGAATGCATACATCGCTGTGTGTGGCAGAGGGGGTGTTGGGGGAGCTGGAGAATTTGTGTTTCCAGCAAGCTCCAGGTCATGATGCCAGTGCTGCAGGATTGCGGACCATGCTTTGAGTTGGCAGTGGACTAAACAGTTGTGTGCAACCTGAGTGCCACAGAGAAGGAAAGTGGCAAATGGGGAGGATGGAGATTGAGATTGAGAAAGCCACTCTGAGGAATTGACCTTTGAGAAAGGGCCAGATGTGGTGGAAGAGCAAAGCCTTAAGACAGGATGCAGCTTGGTGGGTGTGAGAAGCTGAAAGAGACGAGGGTCTGGAGAGGGAAGGCATGTGGAAAGGGTGCTGGAAGACAAGGCCTGAGAGGCGTGGGGGGCCCAGGTCATGCAGGGCCAGCCTTGTAGGTCACGGGCAGTCTGCTAGCTTTATTCTGAGTGCTGTGGGAGGCCACTGCAGGCTTATGAGCAGAGTGACATGATTTGCTCTGTGTGTGTAAAATGATGGGTCTGCTGCTGGGGTGAGGTAGCAGTGGGTTGAGGTTGGAGTCAAGGAAACTGGTCAAGACTGCAGGGACGCTGAGAGGGACTCAGAGGGATCTGGAATCTGGGGATGGAGCTGGCATGATTTGCTGCTGGACTGAATTAATAGTCACTTCCTCCTCAGGGCCGCAGTTGGATTTTGTTGGGCTGTTAAAGCACTTTGCCACCAGGGCTGCCGCTTGCTCAATGTGTCTCTTGCCTCCCCTGGTCAGGACTGTCCAGGAGCGCCTCGACCCGGGCAGCTTTCTGTCTCCAGTCCCCAACCTGGCACAGAGTGGCTGTCAGTGCTGACTGGTGGATGAGAATCTAGACCGTGGGTGGCCTGGATGCCCAGGGATGTCCCAGTGGGAACCTACTCTCAAGCTTGCAAAGGTTGTGCCCACTTGCCCCAGGAGTGGGCCCCACATTGTGTTCTGAAAATAACCAACAATTGTCTGGTTTCAGGATGGCTTTCCGAGGCTGACATACCTCACGTGGTGACAGCCCACTGCAGTTTTGAGCTGTGATCAGCGTAAGGACCAGCACATCACTCTCTTTTTCCTAGTTAGGTTTTCATGATGCTCAGTTTTGAAGTAGCCGGCGGAGAGGCTTAAAATTCTGAGGCATCAATTCGTGTGAACCAGCAGAGAGATTATGTCTCACGTTCCTTACACAGTACCGTTAACTCCACTTTTTTTTTTCTGTTTTAGGAGGAAGTCACAGGAAAACAATCTGACATCAGGTATTTATCTATTTGCTTTTCTAAGGAAAAGGCTTAGTATTTCCTAGGATTCGGAAGGCATCAGCCCCGGCTTCTGTACTGTGGGGATTGGCCAGCTGGTTCCTTTGCCTGTCCTGCAGATGACTTTGGAGCCCCCTCGCTGTGCCTGGCCCTGGCTGGGTGCTAGGAGATCGATGTGGGGGACACAGAAACTGATGTGCACAC